TGAGGACATAGAAGAAAGTTTGAAAGGTAATTAACTAACAAAAAGCAAACAAAAACAACAACAACACACACACACACACACACACACACACACACACACACACACACACACACACACACACACACACAAAACCTAGAATATAAAAACAACAACCCGGAAAACTATCACTATATTCACTTCTGGTGCGAGACAAGACTGATTAACTGTGTCAAGTTACACGCACGATGTATACTGAAAAGGGAATTGTCGAAGCGGATCTCCACCATAATATACATGTACCCAGTGCGCAGTGCCAATCCAATTCAGTGGAATTGAGTCGGGGCCAGCCGCATTTTCTTCTGTGGAGTGGCAAAAGCTATACCATTTATTGGCTCAATACGACCGATCCGACCCACAACCTTGAAAAACAAAAGCGTTTGATTTTGAAGGTCACAATTATTAAATTTGGTTGACTTCGGGCGAATTGTACCAAAATAAGAAATAGCTTTTGCTCCTCCTTGGAGAATAATCTGGCTGGCCCCGACTCAGTTCGCTCAAGAATTCGATTGGTTGTGTGCACTCAGTATTGAGCACACCCGCCAAACTCCCACGCGACAACGACGACAGCAGCGATAGTGGCGGCGATGGCGTTCTCTCTCGGTCCTGTGAGCGATGAATGGTGTGTGCGTGCGTGCCTGCTAGTGAATGCACGTGACGTGGCGTGACTCATCTCTCGTGTCGCTCGCTTTTCTTTCTTCGCAGATTATGTTTTGGTCCAGTGGCGTCTCTTATCAATACGAATGGTTCCAGACGGCTCGTTTTATTTTTATAGTTTTGGCCGTGCTGATCGCTTGTTTCTCTCGAGTTTTCTGAGACTTATTCATAAATTCAGCTGTGTTTGGTTTCTGTTGAATGATTTTGGTACTTTGAGTCTCGACTAATTCGCACGTGTTTTTTTCTTGTTTGTGGATATACGTGGAGGATATTTTCTACTCCTCTCAACCCTGACGAAATCTGAACGGATTCGTGATGTATATTTATGATTTTGCAGGTTGTAGCTTTGGCTGTATACCAATTTTTGTTGTGACTTCTTTCCAGTTTAATTCTGACTATATCTTTAAAAAGGAAATAAAAACCTTTACCAGTTTTTGATGCATCCTTGCATAAAGTTTTGTCTTCACTTAATACCGGCTTTCCCTGGAGTGATATATATGTCAATTATTTTTGTGCCATAGGGATGGACTTGCTTCAAATAACAGTTGAGCTGAGTTTTAGTGAAAAACGGTGGGAGTACTTACCTTATATGTGGCTTGATATTTGTATTGGAACGACAGCCATGGAAAATATCGGTGTGTGTGTGTGTGTGTTTGTGTGTGTGTGTTTGTGTGTGTGTGTGTGTTTGTGTGTGTGTGTTTGTGTGTGTGTGAGTGTTTGTGAGTGTTTGTGTGTT